CTCCTTTTCCTCTGAAGCCCAAGCTTTTCTCCAGGTCATTACCCTCTTACCTAAAGTGTAGCTTTTTTCTGAAGTAGGTCTGCTGGTCATGAATTCTCAGTTTTCCTTCATGTAACTATGCCTTTAATTTCTCAGAATTCTGAGTTCACAATTCCTTTTGTCCCCTAGAACTTTAAATGTGGTTCCACTTTCTCATGGTACCCATGCTTTCTGATGAGAACTCTGTAATCACTCAACTTCAAAATCCTGTAATGAGCTGTAGTGGTTTAAAAAACATGGTCCCTGTGTGTTGCTAGAGTTTTCCTGCCTGGCCCACAGTCAGGACAAATCTCTCTCACCCGCCAGTCCCAAGCCGCTCAAACCCGATCAAGTAAACACAGAGACTTATATTGGTTACAAACTGTATGGCCGTGGCAGGCTTCTTGCTAACTGTTCTTACAGCTTAAATTAATCCATTTCCATTAATCTATACCTTGCCACATGGCTCGTGGCTTACCGGCATCTTCACATGCGGCTTGTCATCATGGCGGCTGGCAGTGTCTCTCTCTCAGCCTTCCACTTCCCAGCTTTATTCTCCTCCTTGTCCCGCCTACACTTCCTGCCTAGCCAATGGCCAATCAGTGTTTTATTTATTGACTAATTAGCAACACATTTGCCATACAGAACATCCCACAGCACCTGTGTGCTCATATATTTGAATGCTTGGTCTCCAAAGGTGTTGATTAGAATGAGAATGGCCCCCATAAGCTTGTAGATTTGGTCACCAGGGAGTAGCATTATTTGAAATAATTAGGAGGTATGGCCTTGTTGGAAGAAGTGTGTCACTGGGGGTGGACTTTGAGGTTTCAAAAGTCCATGCCAATATCAGAGCTCTCTTCCTGCTGCCTGGAGATCTGATGCAGAACTTCCAGCATCTTCTCTGGTACCATGTCTGCCTGTATGATGTCATGCTCATACTGTGATGACAATGGTCTAGACCTCTGAACTGTAAGCAAGCCCCAATTAAATACTTTCTTTTATAAGAATTGCCATGGTCATGGTATCTCTTCACAGCAATAGAACACCAAGACAGAAGTAGTAGGAGGTGTGGTTTTTTTTAGAGGAGGTATGCCAATGGTGTGAGCTTTGACATTTCAAAAGCCCATGCCATTCTCAGTTAGCTCTCTCTGCCTCAAGCTTGTGTCTCAAGATGTAAGCTCTCAGCTCCTGCTACAGCACCCTGCCCACCTGCCTGTTGCCATGAATACTCATGAATTATAACACTCTAGAAACACTGAGCCTCGAATTAAACACTTTCTTTTATAAGTTACTTTGGTCATAGTGTTTTGTCATAGCAATAGTAAGATAACTAAGACATGAACATATGCTGTTTTTTTCCTCTGGCTATTTTCAAGAGATTTCATTTATCTTTACTTTTCAATAGTTTTGTGATGCTGTATCTAGATATACATTTATTTATATTTATTCTATTTGGAATTTACTTACTTTTTAAAAATCTGTAATCTTTTGCCAAATTTGAGAAGTTTGTGGCAATTATATTATTACTCATGGATTGGTGCTGGGATTTAAATGTGGGTTTTTGTGCATGCTAAGCAATGCTCTCCCACTGACCTACTCCCCACCCATTGAAGCTACTCCTTCATTTATCATATGCTTTGTGGTATCTATCAAGGGAGTGATTTGTTTTTGTTTCTGTCTTTTATATTGGTTATTATATTTTTACTCTAAAAATTTCTGTTTTGTTTTCTTTTATCTTTTATTTCTGAAATGATGCTTCTATCTTTTGTTTTAAAGGTATTCAAGATTGCTTACATAAAAAAATTAAAGCTTTAGCAGATCATTTCTATATTCATGTCTTTGTGTTACTGGTAACCGATGACTGGCTTTTCAAGTGTGTGAAGAGTTCCATGGCTCTTCATATGCTGAGTTTTGAGTCTTGTTTTTACCCTTTGGAGAATGTTGACCACTGTGCATTTTGTTTGTCTTGGTAGGCAGTTACCTATTTAAGTTCAAAGGCCCGTAGTTCAACCCCTTGTCAGTTCAATTTCCATACTTTAAATACTACTCATGTTTATCCTGTGTGTTCATCACGAACCCCCACCCCTACAGAACAGCAGTCAACCTGAGTCTAGGAAAAATACTGGTCAGCTGAGTTCTAGAAGTCTTTGGAAGGCTCATCAGGGCCAGATCTACCCATGGTTAGTCCACAGTTACTGTTTCCAACTTCCCCTGAAGCAGATAGGAAGATAGGGTGCCTAGGGGACAGGAGAAGGGGAACAATCTCCTCACCCTGGGATCTGCTTGTCTTTCCCACTGACTGAGAGTCAAGGAAATTCAACATAACTGGGTAAGCTAAGGCTGCCTGTAACGGGTGCCTTCCTAATGATGCCTCAAACATGGATGTAAAGCATAAATGTGATATTCTTACTTGGAGCCAGAACATCTGTGGTCAGAGTTTTATCATATAAGCTTTCTTCTCTGAGCCCCCTGAATCTACACAATGAACTTCATAAGACCACCTTGATTTCATTTACAAAAGGAAATTATTTATGGTAAAGAATAAATAAAGCAGCTGACATATTTTTAATTGCTCTCTTAAACTTTACTTAAATTTAAAGTTTTCTTTCATTTTAAAGTCTTGCTGGTAACTCAGGAAACCACTAGGCTTTATACAGACTTGGGACGACATGTAAGTGTGATTCTTTCAAGGAGTCCACTCTCCTGTTTTGGGATTGTGTACTATACTTCCCTATGTAACTTCCTGTCTAAATGTTTAGTCCACTAACTTTGTCTCACTCCGGCTCATCCTGAAATTCTTTTCTATGACACTGTCAAGGAGCTGGCTACCTCGAAGGGATGTCCTAAGAGGCTACTGAAGTCTAAGTGACAGGTGGCTATGCCTTCCTGATGTCACGGACTCTCCATGTCTCCCTAGTCCTTTGGACTAATGGAAGTCCCTTTTCTGGTTATCTACTGGTAGCCATCCACTCCCACGCCTGCATTGCTGTGATAGGAAAACAGAGAGAGTAAAAGCAGACTGACGCTTTCTTTAGCCTACAGCTCAGCATGGTCCCCACTGCTTGACAGAGCCCACTGGACTTGTCCTGTGCTCTTCTTGCTGTCTTTCAGCCCTCCTGTCCAGTCCATACCAATCCCGTGCTTCTGCAGCTTGGCTCACATTGCAACACAGTGGTGTGTGCCTCCTGCCATCCTTTGTGGGAGCTCACCTATATCTTCTATCTTACCTAGCAGCCTCAGGGCCCCTATGCATGTGGGTCAACCCTTTGTCCTGCTTCGTTAGAACTGTATTTGAACTCTGAAGCTTCTTCTGTAAGCCTTTGCAGCCATTCTGTAGCCTATACATATACATATTATCATGTAGATGTGATATAGGATCTGAGGGTTAACATAATTAAATTCATAATAAAATAACCAATGTTTGCCAATGGCCATCTATCCAGGGAAAGTGAAACAATTAGGCAAAGTGCAGTCAACAACACCCATATACCGCTTATAAATTTGTTATTCAAAACATTCTGACATTGTGGAAAGACACAAATGGGAGTGTTTCTGGCATACCACACTCCTGACAAAAACTTCAACCATTTGGCCATACTTGGAAACACTGAAAAGGGTGAGGAGTTAAATGACAGATGATGAAACTCCACTTGGTTGTTACTACTGGGAGAAGTAATTCCACTGGGCCGTGATCAACATGTGTCTGTGAAACACTCAGTCAGTATGTTTCAACATTAGACCTCTAGGCAACAGCCTTTATTGCCTCACTTCACCTGGGATGGGGTAGTTGTTCTTAGGACAAATGTCACAGCCATAATGACAGATTTTTTCAGGAGTGAGAGAGAAGAGGTCTACCTGAATAAACCTTCTGTTAACACAGAAACAAAACAAAACAAAAAACTAAAGGTTCCACTTTAGGAAGTGAAGAAAGAGCCCACTGATGGTCACGAGGGGTGTGTGTGTGGAGGGGGCAGGGGGGGCACATCCTAACTCTGCCAGCTCCTTTCCTTGCATACTAGTTGATCCTTAGGATGCATTCCCTTCTGCTGTATCCTCTGGGGGCTACAAAAATACACATAGCTCTTTGAGACTATCATCTGAGGGATTTTGAAAGTTGAAAACCATCTGGCTGCCTTCAGATGCATTTTGGTAAAAGGTAGAGAGAATGTGTGTTTATCGTATATGTAACTCTCCCCTGAATGGAGGTGGTAGCCTGAGACACTGGAGTTATGGCAGAAAGAACAAGTTCAAGAAAAGTCCAGGAAGGTCAAAATGAAGCGTCAACTTTGCTGAAAGGAAGATTTCTCAAATGACTGATCACCTGTCACTCAGGTGAGCTACAGAAAACCAGGAGTAGCTCAATGAAGTGTGAAATGGTCATGAAAGCAACAGGCCTCTAGAGAACTTGAAAAAAAAAATGGACCAGAGGTAGACATTCAGGTAGTAACTGAGCTCCTACTGTGTGTAAGGTCCTAGAGAAGGGATGTTCCACAGCCAGACTAGTTCTCAGTGAAGACTAGAAGGTAGACCTTGATGTAATAAACTCTCGAGTAAATGTGAAGTCACTGTGGAGGTAAAGGCCCTGGAGGAAGCACAGAGCAGTGAGGGGAACATAGGAAGGGGCAGATGAGGCAGCTTCTCTAGCCCAAAGCTGCCTGATATGAGCTGTGGCTCATGTGGGAACTCCTTCTCCCCAGGGATGCTCATTGTAAGGGGTGGGGGATGGCTATTGTAATTGCTGTGTTTATAGACAATGGCATCCTAGGTCTAGAAGGGACTTTGGTTGTCTTCTAGTCTATTATTCATTTTTTTTCCCAGCTAGAAACATCTTTACAGCACCCCTACTGGCCATTGGTGCAGGCATTTCCAAGTATATTTCCAAATAAAGACCAACTATTCTGTTTCCATCTTATGGTTCCACATCTGTGGATCCAACCAACCACAGATCAAAAATATTTGTAAAATCAAAATTGAACCTGTACTAAACATGCACATATTTTTCTGTTTATTAGTCCCTAACCAATACAGTCTACTGAGTATTTACAATGGCATTCACACTGTTTTACATATTATAGCCAATGCAGGGACTATTTAAGGTACATAGGATAATATGGGTAGCTGTTCCATTTTCTATAAGGGATTTGAGTCAGCACATTTTGTTATCTATGAGGGCTTTTGTATCACTTCCCTGTGGATTTCTAAGGAGCCACAAACAACTGTATGATTTCATATGACTTCTTCAGGCACAAGTTAAAAGTTGGGGACAAGGAGCTTGGCATACCCATCAGTCTGAATAGAAAAAAGTGAATTCCAATTAATGCCCAAGGGGCAGAAAACACACAGGAGCCACCAGCCTTCCAACTACCCTGATATCTGTCCTCATACCAATTCCTGCCCACACATTCAGTTAGCAGTGGGCTGTAAAATCAGTTCCACTACTCAGAGTTGATTTGGACAGTAATGCCTGTCGTGGTGCTTTGACGTAGTTGAAGCCAAGAGACGCCCTGTAATCCCCACTAGCAAACACAATCAGTGATTCCACCGGCTCCTTCCCCCAGGCCTTCCAAGTCAGCCAGAAGTCACCTAGTCCTTCTACTGCCACCTAGTGACAACCGCCAGTAATTCTACAGTTTTTAGGGAAAATTTTAACTGCACTCCAAAAGAAAGCTTGCAATTTTCTTCTAGTGCTCTACTTCTACTAAAATTAAAGCCCATTTAACTGTGCAAAAATTTAAAAGATATGCCCTGTAAGGAATTGGTCTTCACTTTCAAAACCCCCAAAACTGTATGATAGAGGAAGAATACAGAAAAGGTTTAGAGGGAATGGGGTGGTGGGGGAGGGGAGGGCAGAGCAGGAGTGGTCGGGGGAGAGCACTAAAGATGCTTGAGAAAGCCATATGGAAGATTCCTGTATCAGTGGGGTTCTCTAGAGGAACAAAACTGATGAGTTTTTGTTCCTCTAGAATAAGATATATATATATATATATATGAAAGTATATATATATATATGAAAGTATATATATATATATGAAAGTATATATATATATGAAAGTATATATATATATGAAAGTATATATATATATATATGAAAGTATATATATATATATATGAAAGTATATATATACATACACACTTTATATTAGAGTGGCTTACAGGTTGTAGTCCAACTATTTCAACAATGGCTGTCTCCTGACAGAAAGTTCAAGAATCCAATAGTTGTTAGGTCCAGAAGACTGGGCATCTCAGATGGTCTTCAGCATACACTGGAATCTGGAAGAACGGGGCTCTAATATCAGTGAAGGGATGAACTTGCCAGTAAGAGAGGGCAAGCAGGCAAAGAGCAAGAGCTTTCTTCTTCTGTGTCCTTTCTATAGGCTGCCTCCAGAAGGCATGGCTCAGATTTAGGATGGGTCGTCTTACCTTGAATGATCTAATCAAGAAAAATTTCTCACAGTTACATCCAGCCGCTGGAGTTTTGGTTAATTCCAGATACATGTAAGTTGACAAACAAGAGCCATCACACCTACTATATTATGGAATGAGTGTGTGTGTGTGTGTGTTTATTTGGAGTTATACTTCAGAAATTTTTTCATTTGAAATTTTCTAGCTGGCTTTATTTTTAATCAGCTGAAATTTCACATGTAATCAAGTATGATTTTTCCTGGCCATTTAGGACAGCTAAAAGATCTGCTTTGGCTGGGTGGTGGTGGCGCATGCCTTTAATCCCAACATTCGGGAGGCAGAGGCAGGCGGATCCCTGTGAGTTCGAGGCCAGCCTGGGCTACAGAGTGAGTTCCAGGAAAGGCGCAAAGCTACACAAAGAAACCCTGTCTCGAGAAACCAACAACAACAAAAACAAAAACAAAAACAAAAAAACAAACAAAAAAAGATTGCTTTGGTCTGTGTGACAATTCCAACCTCTGGTAATCTCAGGATTGACACACCTTGTCCTTTTCAGGGAGAATGGTCTGAGTTTTATAAGCCAAATGAGTGTAGACAGTGTCTTGGGCACTGTGACTATAACCTTGTATGGCCCTTGGGTCTTTGTGGAAGACTGTTTTAGCAAGTCACCAACCTAGTGTGATTCAGACAACAAGCTCATTCTTGATTTCCTGTGAGTGGTAGTGACAATACCACTTTGATTTTCCAAGGCTTTGCTATATTTGTGTGCATCTGTCCTGTTCATAAACCTGAGACTTGAGGTTCAAGCACAGAATTAAGGAGAGTTCTTTCTTTAAAAAAGAAAAAAAGATTCATTTTTTATGTGTGTGAATGTTTAGCCCAAATGAACGTCTGTGCACCGCATATGTGCCTGCTTGGATGCTCTAGAACTGAAGTTACAGATGGGTGTGAACTGCCACATGACTGCTGGGAATTGAACCTGGATCCTCTGGAAGAGCAGCCATGCCTCTTAATCACTCAGCCATCTCTCCAGCCCCTCATATCCGCTCCTAATTTAAGGATTCTCACATAGTTGCTTTCCATATTTTATACAGAGCTTTTGGGCTGTAGGGAATAAGAGGTTTGGGCAGTAGCTAGCTTCTGGGGTGTTGTGTTATCTGAATCTGCCTGGCTTCTTAATTGAATTTTTGGTACTTCATAGTCATTTTACTCTAGAAAGGCCCCACTCTCACCGTCTTAGGATCTCAGCCTGTGGAAACAGCAGTAGCAATCTCATCTTATTTCATCATTTCCAAGGGATAAAATATGATGGGCATCAGGCACCAGTAATTTGTTAATAAGCATCAATGGTTATTTCTCTTCACATTTTCATAAAACTGAATACTGCAGGCTAAGATTATCAGAATAAAAAACTGAGACTTAAAGTATCTGCAGGTTTTGACATAGCTACCTGGAACCTAATTGTTGAAAGAAAGATAAAAAAGTAGCAATATTTTAGTAAGCAAAATATCCTATTGTTTTTTATCTGCTGTAGAGAGGCTGCACCTGAACCTACCACTGCTTCAGCTGCTGACTATGCCTCTGCAGTCACTGCCACCTCGCTGTTGAGGCCTCTGCCCAGGGGAGCCTTCATGTCCACCACTGCTGCCTCAGCTGACTCCACATAGGGGGGCAAATACTGTTTTTGACTAAGTATCTTTTTCTTGTACCAATAAAGACTCAAGAGTCAGATGCTGGGGTGAAAGCCTGCTAGCTCAGAGAGGTAGAGAAAGAAGTTGGCTGACTTTTCTCCTCTGCCATGGTATCAGAAAGAGGGCTCTCTCCTACACCATCTGAAACCAAATTCCTCCACCTGGATGTCCGTCCCTTCTACTTCCTGTGCTTCTCTTTCTCTGACCTCCCGACTTCCCCTTACTCTCCATGGTTACTTCCAGTCAACTGATTGCTTGCTCTGCCTCTTGGCCTACAGTTAATTTTTATTTAAATAATGCAATCTCAGGGTTCACAGTGTGATCAAATATCCCACAACATTCTATGTCAATTTTATGGACTTCAACTAGCTCATCAAAGGTCTATCAAGACATGGATGGCATTAATCAAAATGTCAAGTTAGAAGGTTAGGTATCTTATAGGTGCTTTACAAAACACCACACTAAAGAATGAGGATGGTAAAGCCAATGAGGAACATTGCTTTTCCAATGACATGACCTATTGTTCTTGTCTTGCATCTTGAGTAAATTGTGTAGGTGTGTATTGAGGAAGATGTGGTGTGGTGGTTTGAAAAAGAAAGACCCCCCATAGGCTCATAGATTTCAATGCCAGGTCATCAGGAAGCAACATTATTAGAAAGTGTGGCCTTGTTGGAGTAGGTGTGGCCTTATTGGAGGAAGTGTGTCACTGGGGGAGGGCTTTGAGTTTTCATATGTCTCTCTCCCTTCCTGCTGCCTACAGATCTGGATATAGAACTCTCAGCTCCTTCTCTAGCACCATGTCTGCCTACATGCCACCATGTTTCCTGCCATGATGATAAAGGACAAAACCACTGAACTATAAGCCAGCCCGAACTAAATGTTTTCCTTTATAAGAGTTGCTGTGGTGATGGTGTCTCTTCACAGCAATAGAAACCCTAAGAGAAGTGGATTCTTATTTATTTTCCTCCTTTGCCAGATGGTTGGAAAAGAAAATGCAACTCAAAGAATACCTCAAGTAGGTGATCTAAAGACTGTTGCTGTTTGGCCCAATTTACTTAGCCACTATGTGTGGATGATAAACTGCTATCGTGGTGTCAGAGATATGATCTCAGCCTGAAAGGCTGTAAACGTTTTTCAAAACAGCTCCCCATGTAGACTACCCTGGGGTTCACGGCAGCATCCATTCATGTTAAGCAATGTAAGACTTTCTATTGCCGAAATCCCACCCCAGTTCTTAAGGCTTGACTTATGAAAGTTTTTATTTGTCAGTGCTGTGTGTCATTCTCATCACACTTGCCATGTTAGTCAAGGAAAAGACACAGTGCAGTGTGTGTCATTCAAATACCAGAAACCGGAACGTGCAGCACACCCTTCCTCTGAGAAGTCTAACTGCTGTGGTGGTCTTCACAGCTTTGCTTTTCTGGACATGAAGTTCATGAGTGCATTGATGCATTCCTCTGACAGCCACCTTGCTTGGAGGGTAGTGCACTCTTCGGCATTAATGGCATGGAGCCTTTCTTTCTCATTTTTTCTGATTAACTCCTTGGAAATTCTCATGGACTGATGAAACAAAACCAGCAATACGTTATTCCAACAAAAATAGGATTAGTCCATTCTTGCCCTCCACTGTAATGAATGTATCCTATTAGATTTTACTGAGACATATAAAATAGAGTACACCTTTAATATATACAGAGAGGACGCTAGTAGTTGTGGGCGATAGGTCTTATTCCTGTACATTTCCAAACAGCCCTAGATGGACACAAAGCTTCTGGTTCCAGGATCACACACTCACCAGCAAGGATGGAAGAGCAATACATACACAAACGGAAGTGCTGGAGAGTGAGGATCCTAAATATAGCCAACCTCCTCACCTCCCACCTGAATTCCAAAGTCAAAGAGCTGGGTGTCTACTGGCATCCTCCTGGAGTCACCCCCAGGAAGGATCTCCTATTTGCCCTGTAGCACAGAAATGCAATGTCTATCTGCTAAGTTCTTTGTAAAAAAAATTACTATTCCCAACATTATAGTAACTTTTAATACAAAATCCAGAGGTGCTCAAAGCAACTGAACACATGTCTTATCTTTTTAGGATGTGTCCTCCTAAGGCACATTTCCCCCTTGGGAAATGATTTCCATGTTCCCACAAGTGAAAAACAAATACTAACGTTTGGCGGGAGCTTCGCATATGCTTTCAGCCTGGTCCAGACTTCGTTCTCAAAGGTGCTTTCCGGAAAAACTTCAGTGACAAGGCCTTGAGCCCAAGCCTCTCTTGCTGAGAGCTTCTTCCCAAAGAGAAGCATCTCAGTTGCCTGCAATGCAAAGCAAGATGTGACCCTAGCTTAATAAAGCAAGGCTTCAGTTGACTTCGGGACAGTCAGCCTCGGGGAGACACAGATGCACTCATGGCTCTTAAGGTTGCCTGTCTTTCACAGAACAGGGAAGCTGATGGCCTTGCTGGGCAAGGGTTTTCAAACAGCTGAGGCCATAACCGGTTCTGTCTCTCCAGAAGCTAGAACAGCAAACGCTTCTGTGAGGGTCTGCCTTGGAGAGGCAAGAATGGGAAGCCTAGGGCAGAAATGACCTGAAGCCATAGTAGCTATTAAACCTTGTAAATGATAACCAAGCGGGGGGAGGGGGGGGGTGGGGGGGGGTGGGCGGGACAGGGCATAAAAACTACATCCATATGGTCAACCGTTGAGGAATCCAAAATCCATTCCTTACTAGTTGTCCTAATGGTTGAACTTTGAATGTCTTCTTTCTCTGCACATACTCAAATGACTTCTATGTGAATAAAGGGACATGGGGATAGCTTACATTGCATTTCTACAAAAACCGAGGCCAATGAGCAATTTTCTTTCTATAGTTGCATTTTCTTTTCAAAAAAAAACAACAACAACAACCATAAACAAATTCCAAATGCTCTATCTCTGAAGAGCTGGTTCTGCTCAACTTTTCAAAGCTTAACTGATTAAAAACTCAGGCTCTGTGACGACAGCACAATGAGGTTAAAGAAGTGTACGGACACGTACTATATATGTGTGCACGTGGGGGGCATTCACAACAAACCATCTAATAGTCACCAAACAGGCTCCCTTACCACACTGAGATGGTGACCAGTGTCTGCTGAGTCCTTCCCTCTGTCCGTCTCCAGTCCTTAGTGTCCTTGGAGTCACTCCTCGAAACACAGACAACTGGATTTGCACAAATACAGAGCTAAACCGGAGCAGCCCGTGGGCCACCTTGGGAGTCTCAGCACACGGCAGAACAACTGGTAAAAGTCAGCTCTGGGAGTCACAGGGACTATGACTTCATTGGGCTGCTAAGAGCCAGCAACTTCTGGCACTTCACATGGCCCCAAAGAGAGGATGTCGTCACCATGTCATGTCAGAGGATGCTGCTCATTCACACAGTTAGGTGGCTCTGAGCTGATCACATCTGTAAAGGCTTCCTAGTCTTGGGCCTTCATGGAATGTCACACAGCTGTGGAGGACAAGGTCTTGTGCTGCCACCAGTGCTCCAGCTCTAGGCCACCAGGTGTCAGACTCTGTCCCTGCATTAGGAACTGCAGAGAAAATATCCTGACCCCTGCCTTACATCAGCTCTCCCCTTAGTTGGGTTCCTTCATGTTGCTGAGCAAATAGTCACCCTGCAAGCTTTGCCCAAGGGAAAGAAAACAGAGTACATGATTGCCTTGGCAACAAAGATGACAGACACACTACAATTTAAGTTTTTTCTGAGTTACCTTTGCTGAGCCCATTATCTTTGGAAAAGTGTAGGAGGAGCATGCTTCTGGGCTCTGGCCGAGGTGGCTGAATGGAGTATGAAATGTTGCCTGGTTGGGATGGGGGGAGAAAAGAAAAGCATTTAAAAATTACTATTTGATTTTAAATCCACAATTGTATGTTTGTGTTTGAGACAGAGTCTTGCTATGTAGCCCAATCTGGCCTGGAACTTAACTATCTGAGAGGGGTTACAGGTGTGGACCACTATGTCCAGCTCATTATTCTTAATTGATGAGGACATTTAAATTAAAATTATGTGTTATACTATGCACACACAATTCACTTCTAGTATGTTATTAATGGAGTCTCACAAATATGTAAATTATGTTGCCACCAACAATTTCAGCAGAGAAAACATTTACTACCCCAAAAGTCCCCTAATGGTGTAGCTAGAGTTTTCCTGCCTGGCCCACAGTCAGGGCAAATCTCTCTCACCTGCCAGTCCCACAGCCACTCAGACCCGACCAAGTAAACACAGAGACTTATATTGGTTACAAATGTATGGCCGTGGCAGGCTTCTTACTAACTGTTCTTACAGCTTAAATTAATCCATTTCCATTAATCTATACCTTGCCATGTGGCTCATGGCTTACCGGCATCTTCACATGCTGTTTCTCATCGTGGCGGCTGGCAGTGTCTCTCTGACTCAGCCTTCCACTTCCCAGCTTTATTCTCCTCCTTGTCCCGCCTATACTTCCTGCCTAGCCAATGGCCAATCAGTGTTTTATTTATTGACCAATCAGCAACACAATTGCCATACAGACCATCCCACAGCATAATGGTCCCTGTGGGCAATCCCTTCCTTCTACCGTCCCCATGCATCTGCTCTCTGTCCCTTCTGTTTTGCCCTTTTCTAGAATGTTACATGCATGGAATCCTAGATACAATAAGACCTGTGTTTCTTGCTCCTGCCACTTGGCATAAGGTTTGGGAGTCACTCATGCACTGCAAACTGGTAGCCTCTTTCTCATTATGGTTGCTTTTACCATGTGTACATGCCAGTTAACGCTTTTACTAATGTCTCCAGTATTGTGGCCATTATCAGGAGGGTCAGTCACAACCATGAACTTGCTTGATATAATAATACATTTCCCACTTGTCAATAATACCTCAGTGAAGCTGAAACAAAATCCTTTTCAGATTTATTCTACCAAAAAGAAGTAGATGTGCGTAGAGTGACTGTGCCATCAACATTCCACATTGAGGTAGGAGAGCGCCACCCGGTCCATGTCCTTATTCAGCTTTACTAGGAGAAGTCCTTGTAACCTAATCATGTCACTATGTGCATAGTGGTGCCTCATGTTTTCAGTTTATGTATCCTTTATGACTAGTGATATTGAGAATCTTCTTGTATTCTTATTAGCCGTGTGTAGTAGCACCTTTGATGAAATAACTGCTAACATGTTTCCCACTATTTTTTTGTTCATTTTGTTTTGTTTTTCAAGACAGGGTTTCTCTGTGTAGCCTTGGCTGTCCTGGAACTCATTCTGTAGACCAGGCTGGCCTTGAACTCACAGAGATTCACCTGCCTTTGCCTCCTGAGTGCTAGGATTAAATGTTGCAGGAATCTTAAAGAGTATTATTAATAAAATCAACCCTGAGGCCAGTTATTGGGGTGAATGCTGGAAGGTCAGAGAAGCAGAACAAGCCACAGCTAACCTTACCTGGCCAATTTCTCAGCTGATCTTGTTTCCTCAGAAGGGAAGCCTCTGTGTCCTCTTATCCGAATGGCTCTCGGCTGAACTGTGCTGCTCAAAACCTAAAAGCTTAACCAGCCAAATGCTTCTAGTTTCTGGTCCTCACGCCTTATATAGCTTTCCTTTCTACCGTAACTCCCTGGGATTAAAGGCTCACTTTCTGGGATTAAAAGCATGTGTCACATGCCTGGCTATTTCCAATGTGGCCTTGAACTCACAGAGATCCAGAGGGATTTCTGTCTCTGGAATGCTAGAATTAAAGGTGTGAGTGCCACCATTTTCTAGCCTTTGTATCTAGTGGCTGTTCTGTCTCTGACCCAGGTAAGTTTATTAGGGTGCAAAATATTTTGGGGAACACAATACCACCACAATTAAAGATATGCACCATCACTGCCCAGTATTCCCTACTATTTTTCAAGTTAAATTATTAAAGAATATTTTTGAATTGTAAGGATTCTTTATAGACGCAGGTTACAAGTAAGTATCATGCAAAGAATTTTTACAGGTCTGTGGATTATCTTTCCTTTTAAATAAAAATAATGTTTTGGATAAAGGGTCTTTATCCAAATGTAGCACAGGCTGGCCTCAATCTTAGAGCAGTTCTCTTGCCTCAGCCTTCCAGAAGAGTGCTGGGATTATAGGCATGAGTTATCATATCCTGCTAGCCTTTTGGAGGGGGAGGTAAGGAAGGGTGTGGGAGAGGATCTCATGTAGTCGAGGCTAGCCTTGTTATGTAGCCAAGAATGACTGAATTCTTGATGGTCTAGCCCCTCTTCTTCCCAAGTCCTAGGATTGTATCTATCTACCATTATACCCAGCTTCTCTTTGCATTACAAAAACTTTCAGTTACATTTATTTGTGTTACATTTGTTTATGCTGTGGAATACTTGTTTAATGATGCAAAGATGTGTTGCATTCCTTTATGTTGTATTTGTTTAACTATGTGAAGCTGTGTTATTCTTCCTGTCTAAAACATCTGATTGGTCTAATAAAGAGCTGAATGGCCAATAGCAAGACAGGAAAGGACAGGTGGGGCTGGCAGGCAGAGAGAATAAGTGGGAGGAGAAATCTGGGAATAAAGACATTGAGGGGGAACAAAAGGCAGAGGACACTAGGCACCAGCCACCCAGCCAGCCATGGAGTAAGAGTGAAAGTAAGATATACAGAAGTAAGAAAAGGAAAAAGCCCAGAGTCAAAAGATAGATGGGGTAATTTAAGTTAAGAAAAGCTGGCAAGAAATAAGCCAAGCTAAGACTGGGCATTCATAAGTAAGAATAAAACTCTGTGTGTATTTATTTGGGAGCTGGGTAGCAGGGACCCCAAAAGAACCAAAGAGTAAAGAGTAATAAAAATCAACAATAGGGCAATGTTCACAACAATACTGGTGTTTAGTAACATTAATTAACATCGAAGGAAAAACCTAAATCGTCAAGTTAGACTAAGTCTTTATGAACTATCTAAATTACTGCATCCTACCACTGTCTTGTTTTGCTTTCTGTTGCTGTGATAAAACACTGACCAAAAGCAACTTGAGGAGGAAAGGCTTTGTTTAGGTTACAGGTTACAGTCCATCATTGAGGGAAGCCAAGGCAGGAACTCGAGCAGAATCAGAGGCATGAACTATAGAGGAACAGTGCTTATTGGCTGACTCCCTACAGTTTGCTCAGCCTGCTTTCTTACCACAACCCAGGATCACCTGCCCAGTGGTGGTACCACCCACAGTGGGCTGGGCCCTCTCATGTCAATCATTAATCAAAAAAATGCCCCACAAACATGCCCATGGGCCAATCTAATGGAGAAAAATTCCTCAGTTGAGGTTCCTTCTTCACAAGTAACTCTAGTTTGTGTCAAGTCGACAAAAAACTAACCAGTACACCCACTAACCCCTTGTGATAGTCACCATAAAGGAGAATGCAAGTACTCACTGATTGACCTTTGTTTGTGGAAGTGGACTTACCTTGTCAGATGCATAGACAGCATCAAACAGTCCCAGAAGGGTGACAGCAATTCCCACAGCTGGGCCATTTACTACTGCAACCAGAGGCTTGGGAAAGTCTATAAAACTGTTTACAAATTCCCTAAAGAAATGGAAATAGGAAAGCATTAAACATCCCAAAATGGCACCACTAACTATAGAAAGGAATGCATAAATCTGATATGACATCACTCTATAGAGGCCACCTCCCCAGATTGGCCCAGGATCCCTGTAAATGGCACCTAATAGAATATCAGGTCATGATCCTACAGGCTAAGGCCAATTCATACCCTGGGCAGTGAGTTCAGGTGTGACCTGAGAGACCATGGTGGGGGACTACATGTGTGACTGCATATTACAGCACAGGGGGACTGAGAGACTCAGCAGAACTGGGATAGGAAGCCGAAGCCTCAAACCTCCTTCAGCACCTTTCAAGACTACTTCCCGAGTACAGCCAGCACTCACAGGCACTGTCCATTCACCCCGCTGCACAAGAATTCAGACTCCCTCTGCCTCTTTCTCACCTCACACTTTCCAGTCAACCTCATGTAGACAGCAGGAGGAAGAGGGGGATCTGACCGGGAATCACAAGTAAGCGCATCAGCACAGACAAGTGGGCATTTTACTGATGTGTTAAGAATGAACCCTCTTGGGGGGAGGGATGAGGAAACGACTCATTGGTTAAAGCATTTGCTAGCCAAGTGTGAAGACTGGACTAGAGATTGAATTCTCAAAATCCCCATAAATTTTGGGTGGGTGTGGAGGCCTACTTGTAATTGGTCTCAGAAGCTGGAAATGGGAGCCTAGAGTAAGCATGTGAGTGAGCGCTGGGTTTGAGAGATCTCGGTTCAGTAACTAAAGTGGAAGAGGGTGCCGTCCAGTCTTAAGTCAACTGGGAAGGAAGACTCTTGATTGGAAACTGCTTCCATAATATTGGGCTATAGGCAAGTCTATAGTGCAGTTTCTTAATTAGTGATTCAAGTAGGGGCCCAGTCCATTGTGAGTGGTGCCACCCCCAGGCCAGCAGTCCTAGATGCTATAAGAAAGCAGGCTAAGCAAGCCAGGAGGGAGCAAGCCAATAAGCAGTACTCCTCCATGGTCTCTGGATTGTTCCTGCCTTCAGGTTCCTGAGCTTGTTTCCTTTGATGATGGACTGTCATGTGGAAATGTAAAGGGAATAAACCCTTTCCTCTCCAAGTGTTTTTTGGTCATAGTGCTTTATCACAGCAACAGAAACCCTAACTGTGACAAAAAGCGGTGAAGAAAATGTCTGACATCGACCTCAGACTCCACATGCACACACATGCACTCGTACCCACACACATGCTCACCACAGGCACATGAAACATGGGGGAAAAAAGAATGAACCCTCTAGGATCAGACAAACATTACTCTTACCTCAGTACCACAGCACCCCTGCTAGCTGCCTCCTCTATTCCGCCAGAGGCACTAGTGAAGTTAGTGAGGTCATTCCCGCTGCAGTAGTAGTCGCCAGTTCCTGCGAACAGTCAATCAAGAGCCATGGGTCCTCCGTGTATCTACTCATTCCAGGGTTGCTGTGTATCTGCTGTGTGCAGGGCTCAGCCAGGCACTAGTAGAAGACTAGGGAGCCTCATTTGCACACTAGGGACTAGCAAGAACATAACTAAATACAGATGGTGTGACTACAACATGACAGGTGGACATGTGGTCTGACTACAGAACAGGGTTGGTCTATTGGGGTGTTCAGAGTGGAGCTCACTCAGGAAGGGACAGCTGGACTGAGAGCTGAAGAGCAGGCAAGACTAGCAGAGACGCAACAGGACAGATGAGGTTCTGTGTCTGAGGTCTCCAGGGTCTGTACAACTGTAAGACTGTAAGAAGAGCCCCCAGGGCTGAAGCAAAGAAAAAACAGGGTGCAGGGGGAGCTGGTATAGTCAAGATGAGAAGCCAGACTGTGTGGGGCTGTCTAGATTACAATACGAGCCACTGTCTCTACGTTAAGAGCCACTGAAGGTGTGTGTTTATTAAAGTATAGTTTGCCTACAATGAAACCATTACTTCTTAATGAGTTTTGTTTTGAGACAGGATCTGAAGTAGCCCAGGTTGGCCTCAAAACTCTCCATGTAGCTGAGGAAGACCCTGGGCTGCTGATTTCCTGCCCCTACCCATTGATTGTCAGTATTGAAGTCCTGTGTCACAGTGCCCATGCTGGGGATCAAACCCAGGACTTCCTGCATGATAGGCAAGCACTCTATCTCAGGCTACTTCCCTAGCACCCTTAAATAGTTTTGATAACTGTAAATACAGGAGTGATCCCAGGCCAAAAGAAGACACAGTGTTTCCCCCTTATGCTCAGGGGATACATTCTAAGATGGTCCAAAAATCCCTGAAACATGGGGATAGTACCAGGCTCTACAATATGTATTGTGTTTTCTCCTTTCCAGTTGATCCTCCATACCCTCAGGTTTTACATCTGTGGATTCAACCAACAGAAAATATTTGAGGACAAAAAAAATCATCTGTACTGAATATTCACAAGCTTTTCCCTTCATGACTGTTCATTCCTAAACAATGTAATGAATACTGACATAGCATCACTCTGTGTTAGACATAATAAGACACCCAGAGGGGATTCAAGTTCCTTGAGATTTGTGGGCCTTCTATGCAAGTAGCACATGATTTTACACAGGGAACATGACTGTGAAAAGTTCTATATTGATGGGAGTCATGAAACTAATTCCCAGAGGATGCTGAGGGCAACTGTATGCACATACCTGTGACTAAGTTCAATATATAGATTAGGTAAGGTATTTACAGTAACAAACTTTAACAATAAATAAATATATTTAAATATAAGAGTTATTTAAAACATACTGTTAATTTTTCTAGAAACTTCTACATATTTCTAGACCAAGGGTGACAACATGTAACTGAAATTTTTGGAGGCAAAACTACAGAAAGGAGCATTCAGTTAAGATGGGCTACTGTACTGACACCTGTTGTGGAATATTAGTTTAAGTTGTGTTACATTCGTTTATACTGTGGAATATTTGTTTAATGATGCAAAGATGTGTTGCATTCCTTTTTTTTATTTTTTATTTTTTTGTGTGCTGCATTCTTTTACGTTACATTTGTTTAACTCCGTAACGCTATGTTACTTTAGCTGCCTAAAATACTTGATTGGTCTAATAAAGAGCCGAACAGCCAATAGCTAGGCAGGAGAGAGAACTGGCAGGGCTGGAGGGCAGAGAATAGGAACAGAAATCTAGAGCAAGAGTGGTGAGTGAGAAAAAGAGGAGAGGAGGATGCCAGGTGCCAGCCACCCAGCCACCCAGCCACCCAGCCAGCCACAGAGTAAGAAGGAAAGAAAGATATGTAGAATAAAGAAAGGTAAAAAGCCCAGAAGCAAAACATAAAGAGAAACAGGATATTTTAAGTTAGAAAAGCTGGCTAGAAACAAGCCAAACTAAGGCCAGGCATTTATAAGAATAAGTCTCTGTGTGTTTATTTGGGAATTGGGTGGCATGCCTCCAAAGAGTGAAAACAAAACAAAACAAAGAAAAACAACTACAAAGACCTCAGAATGTTCCAGATATTCTTTCTACCCTGCCATCCCAGCTGCCTGAGGCACTCATGTTCAGACTCCATCCACAGAGTAGAATTTCTGTCTAGTATCATAAGACATATAAATTGAACCCAGCAATATGCACTCTTGCGTTTCATGAATTTCACAAAGCCATTCTATAAGGATCATCCATACTTTTGCATGTATCAAGCATTCGTTTCTTTTCTACAGATAGTTCAAAGTCAACCTGTTTTTGGACAGATGAGTTGTTTCTGTTGTGGCTTTTGATACCACAAGCTTTACTTTGTCAGTCAGGCTGGGGCTTATGATTTATCAGTATTATCAAAGAGTGATTTTATTATGTGCATGATAACATGCTACATTTATAAATCAAACCACTGAAGCACTGGAGAAGACCTTCAATCAATACCAATTCTCTACCTAATAAGAGAGTCCCTAAAATAGAAACTGAGTAAGTCTGTGAAAATGGGCTTACCTGTGAAGGCAGTTATGGCTGAGTTGTCTGTGCTTGCATTCTTAAGTGCAAGTATAATATCCTGATACATCTGTGTGATTGGAAAGATAGGGAAAAGAATGATAAAAATAAGATCCATCATCCAGTGGACTGAGCCACTCTCTTTCAACACAGTGCCAAAGTAACTTTTTTAAAGACTTTCTTCTTTCAGTTTATATGTGTGAGTGTTTTGCCTTGTGTATGTTTATGCACTGTGTAGTACCTGGCACTTTTGGAGGTCAGAAGTGGGTGTCAGATCTCCTGTAACTGAAGGTACAGATGATTGTAAATCACCCTGTGAGTGGCTGGGAAACCTAAGAGCCGAGAGTGCTCCTAAGCACTGAGTCCTCTCTCAAGCCTCAGTAATTGTAAAAAGAAGATGCCTGAGAGGATTTCTGCTCCTCTAACAACCGCTGGATGCACACGATGTACAGGTGCACTAAATAGCCACTGTATCCAAAAGCGAACAAGAGAGACACAGACCTGGGGTCATGCAGCTGGACAGTTACTGTGCCCAACAGGGATGGGGTGGGGGAAGGGAAGAGGTAGCACACAGCTTGCAGGAACTGTTGAGGTTGCTGCAGCAGGTGAGAGGGAAGGTGGCTGAGAAAACTGTCCCTGAAACAGCATCTCAGCTGGGGCTTCAAGGAACAAGAAGTGTCCTGGGCAGTCTGGGAAGCAATAACTAACGCAGAGGCTGGATTTCTGAGACTCTGTGCTGGGATCCAAGGGCACTGGCCCTGAACATTTCTGAAAAATCTTGCTGTAGTTTTAGTGTGTTTTCAAAATTGGTATAGATTTTACTTTAATAAGATTCAATGTGGGTTAGAGTTATGAGGAGGGTGGGTATTTCTAAAGACACTGGAAAAATAGAAACATGTACTTAATATGTGAATAATGATGTGACTGTTTCCCTCAAGGCAGGGGACAGGAAATAATTCCTGAGAATTACAGCAAGGGAGATACAGCAGCTAAGGTGACTAGCCAGAGCCAGGGCCAGGAAAGAGATGGATCAATTTAGATTCTCCTGCTTATCAGCTATAAGAACTTACCAAGTTAACCAACTTAACCTGCTCGGACTATTTTGTTAAATAAAAGTGTCAGGGTCCTCTGTTCAGGAAGTCCTGAGTCTTATTGTTACAGTGTGTAGCTATACTACCCTGCTTACACAGAAGTAACTCAGGACAAGCCTTATTAATTGGAAGGCAGACAAGCAACTTTACAAGATTCTTAAGCCTTCAAATGAGCATGCTGTTCCACACTGCAGATGGCAGCCTTGACTCCTAGTTCACCTCCAAGCATCTGATAAACTCCCTCTAGTCAGGGGGAGGGGCTCAAGTGATTAACTTATTATCATTGTAGTTCTAGGGGAAATTCAAAATTGCCCTCAGAAGCAGCTCATTCAAACTGGGCTATTACTGCTCTGCTGAAGATAACGTCTCTCTCCCTGCTTCCCTCCCACAAATGGTTCACAAGCATGGAAAAGACTTAGGATTTATGATCTCTTTAGGGGGTCCTGTGCATCTCCTATCAATGCTCTTTCATTTAGACTGATTTACTGATTTGTGCTTCCATTCAAAGCAAAGCTTCACAGCCTTCTGGATATGTAGAACCTACCAGAAACTCTCAAGTTCTAAACTATGCCCAACTTTGCTGAGTTAAGCCAAATTATCTAATCTTCTACAAAAATAGGAATAATGCTGAAATTCTACAGTTGATGAATGAAAGAAATAGAAGAAAAAGAAAAATGTGTCCATGCCCTGTGCAGGAGCATCACCTGGAAAGTTATGGCATTCTTTTTGGTGGGTCGATTGAACACAATCTTTGTGATGCCATCTTCAGAGGTCACCACAATGTCCTTAGACTCCTGGACTTTCTCATCAGCTTCATGCTTTCCCTGGCTAGAGGCTTCAGATGAGGGACTCAGACTGGACACCAGATCCACATAGTTCTGCCTGGCAGTTTCCTGTGGGTGACAAAGACCTCAGTCTTTAAAATAAGCAATTTGAGAAATATACTATGCTAATAAACACCACTATGCAATAAAGAACAGAGCCTTTGATTCAACAGAGGTACATCACGACTTTAAAGATCATGGGACAGGTGACCCATATATGTAATTCCAGCCACTGGGAGGCTGAGGTAGAAGAATTGTTGAGTTCAAGACCAATCTAGTGTGTGTGTGTGGGGGGGGGGCAATAAAAAAACAATTCAAAGGCTTATTCAGAGAGATTAGATGTGGGGAAAAAAGCTTCTAGTGAGGTCTATTTAATAACAGTCAACAAACTTACCTTTGGCAGGCTGCCAAGAGCATTCCATGCTTCCCACTTGGCTTTATTGACTAGGTCGAACACCCCTGGCTTAGGCATATTACAGGGTCCGTCTGTGGCCTATAAAGAGCACAGAGGTAGTTAATATAAAAGAGAAAGCTTTTGAGAAAGTGGTTCTAGAAACCTAAGAGTTCATTGATTTTGTATTCCTGACCAGTTGTCACAGGAAGTGAAAACACTGAGTCAATATTCAAGTCACAGAACAGTTGGAAGTCCACACCATATTCTAAAGTCCTATCGATGGGGACAGAACCAGAACTTTAGTGGTAAACTCCTGCTAACTGCTCAAAGGGCTGTAGCTGGTGCTGGTAGGGATGGGGTCTTCAGTTCCTGGTCCTCAGGAAGCTTAGCTAAGTGCCACTCCAGGAAACACAAAGAAAACTAATTTTGTTTGTGGATAGGGGGAGTGAATATCCTAAAATGAGTAAGTACCCCATGCAGCTACTTTTCAGAAGTGATTTTTAAACAATTAAAAAATTATAAATTTTGTCCTAGAGTTAGTTAAAGGAAGACAGAAGATGCATGAAAGTCACAGCCAGTGGAGGCTCATACTAAGTCACTCAATGGAGTCAACCATCTGGGAAGTTACAGGGAACCGAGTTGACAAAGGGCTGCTCTTCCCTCTGCCAATGGGAACCTAAGGACCTGCTGGAGACTATGGACAGTGACTTCTATTTGTTTCTAGTCCCTGCATTTCTCCATCCCAACTGTTGACTGGTCCTAACTCCTGACAGACTGCAAAGCTTAGGACTGGGCAGTTTCTAAGATCACCTCAGTTCAATTCCACTAGAAAGACTCCTAGTACCCTTGCAAGCTGTGGTATTCATGGTATAGTTCCTCAGAGGCAAAGGATAGAGACTTAAGCCACGGGCAAGGGCTCACATGAAAGAGTTCAGAGGCAAAGTCAATGTGACACTTCTCTTGTCCTCTCCCCAGGAGTCGGAAAGGAGGAATAGCCCAGACTGATAGATATATGACAATACACATGGAGTATTGACAATGAAGACATTCTCTGCAGCTTCCATGTCCCGTCTTTGCCAAAGCCCTAACCCATAGGCAAACCTGCCTACCCTGAAACCACCCTGTACCCTAAATTGACTGCTAGACTTTCCAGGCAAACAAAGCTGCTTGTTTTGTTCATTGTGAGAGTTCATGGGGTTAGAGAATACCTCCTAGCAGCTGAGGGCAAAGTCTTTTTGAACAAGTAAAATTCTTGAATATACACATCCATTTCTTAGTTAGGGTTTCTATTGCTGTGATAAAAATACCATGCCCAAAAGCAACTTTGGGAGGACAGAGTTTATTTGAGTTTACAACACTCAGGTCTCATTCCATAAGTCACAGAAGTCAGGGCAGCAAATGAAAACAGGAACCTGGAGACAGGAACTGAAGCAGAAGCCAGGGGGAATGCTGTTTACTGGCTTGCTCAGCCTGCTCTCTGATACATTCCACATCAATCATTCATCAAGAAAACTCCCCACAGACTTGCATACCAGCCAATCTTGTTGAGGCATTTTCTCAGTAAGTCCCTCTTCCCAGATGACTCCAGCTTATGTCAAGCTAACAAAGCAAAACAACCAGGACACCCACATAAAGAGACACTTATGCTAAGCACCTAGTAGAAATGACAAAACTAATAAATGATAACACAAGAGTCCAGGGTGGCAGACATATGAGTGAAGTCTTTGCCATTGCAACCTTTAGTTCCTCAATGGTTATAAAAATTTTCGAACAAACATATGAGTTATAATATCCAATTAATCAGTCAAACAGTTATTAAATTTTACTTTATGTGCTTCACCCATTTTCTTTTTTGTTTTAATTGGTTTCAAACATCCCAAACACCATATTATTTCACCCTTAAATACTTACTATCCATTTCCCCAGAACACCAACATTTTACTATATAATCATGGCACCATTAACAATATCCAGGACACCACTAAATAATAGTTGGTAAAACTCAGTCAATATTCAGATTTCCCCAATTGCCCTGAAACATCTTTTCAGCGAATTACTTTAATCAGGAAGGACTCAAACATGTAAACATGAATGTGATTGTTAAATCTTTCAAATCTCTTTATTCTGGAGAGAAGCAGAGGGACCGGCTACTCTGTGCTTTGATAGTATATCAAGACCTAACATAAAAAGCAAACCAAAACAAAGCCTGCAGCACACACCCCAAAGGGGTGTCAGCCATGCAGCCCAACCTTTCAAGCTGCCTGTAAGAAACGTATCAGTTTCAGGAATCATTTGCTCAAAATGTGTTGAAGTAACATCAGACCTCAGGCTATTACCTGCTTATACAGCGCGTAGAGTTTTAGCTTCACTTGGTTTCCTGGGTCCTCCTTCAAGAGTTTCACTTGGTTCATGGCATTTTCAAAGTCCTGCTGACTGGCTCTCATAGTTGGTCTGCCCAGGTGCACCTGAGCCACTGGGAACCTAAAGACCTGCAGGAGACTGCAAACAGTGGTTTCTATTTGTTCCTAGCCCTTCATTTTTGCAGCAGAATTACCGATTGGTCCCAACCCCCTATTAATCAGAATGACGTGCTTATCTGCAACATTTTCTCTAAGTAAGCAACTTCCCACTGACTGGTAAACACTTATTCAAATGAAGGTAGGTTCTGCCTTTTGAGGAAGTCACTCATGCCACCGCTTTACTGCAAGCACCAGGTTCCAGGCTTTGCTCCTGATGCGCGGGTTCTTTGGGCTGTTACATGTGGCTCGCTCTCTCCTGCCACTTCTCTCAGTATAGCGAACCGATTGTTTGAAACCCGGGCTGCGAGTGTGAGGCGGCACTCAGTTAACTAGCACTCTTGGATGTAGTGTCGCCTTAGCCAAGGCACTCAGCGCCCTAGGAAGTTCCGGGCTGGGCCTGCAGGCATGGGCGCCGCCGGGACCAGAGCTCGCAACTCTCTCTGGTGGGCAAAGGTGGTCGGAGTGCGTCCTTCCTTACCCTTCCAGATTCAGCAGAGGAAGGACATTCGAGGTCACTCTTTAGAGCTCTCGTGCTGGGACACCGCCAAACGAGTATCCTGCTGTCCTGCTAGCCAGACCAGGTGACAGAGCGGGCGGCTCCGCGGGCGGGCGACAAACCCCCTCTGGCAACTTCGGGCCAGAAAGCCGAGGCTGCAAGCTTACCTCGGACACCAGCACCGCGCCGGTCTCCAGATCATTGCCGCCATAGCTAGAAGCTCAGGACAAACTGAGCCCTGAGGCTTAGGCCCGGCTAAAACTGCCCAGCGAGAATGGGATGGGGGCGGAGCCAGATGTGCGCTCCCGGTGTGGGCGGAGCCAGGGGGTGAGCTCGGGCGGTGAGAGGAGCCGGGGACGACAAGGGCGGGCAGAGCAGAGCTAAGATGCAAGCCCTGGGGGGAAGGCGTGTAGCTGGCCGCTCCTTCAGAGGGGAGAATAGGCGGGTTTCGGGGAGGAGCCCAGAATTTCTGGACCAGGTCCAACTTGGTACAAAGGTGACTGGCACAAGACTGGGCAAAGAGGGCTGGAAGCAGGGCACGGAGTCAGATACCGGGCTCTGGGAATTTTAATCAGAGATCCTAAGCATATTCATTTAGAAACTGGACCATTTCTCAGCAGGTTCAGTTAGGAGCACATTTCTGAGCACGCTCAGTTTAAGGTAATGGAACATATGTTTAAAAGATTAAATGGACAAGAATCCCTTGGACGTGCTTATCTTGCACAATAAAGTTTAAGCTGAACATGGAAGGACACTGTATAAACTGCATTAATGTAGACGTTTGCCCTGAAGGTGTCTGCCTTGCTTAGCAGCTAAGGTACTTGGAGCAGAGATCATGTGTAAACAGTGTCTGACTGGAGACTGGCGTGGGGGTGGGGCAGTTCTCAATGAAAGGGAACCACTGTGGGTTGGGTAGCACTCCATTTCAGCGTGAGGATCACTGTGTCCATGCTAAGGAGTTTGGATTCTGTGCTAAGCATACTAGAGAGCCATAGAAAAGCTAATTAGTGGGCTAGAGAGTTGACTCGGCTGTTTGAGAACATTTGTTGCTCTTGCAGAGGACCCCGGTTTGGTTTCCCTGAACCTACATAACTCCAGGTCCAGGGGAACAGACCCCATCTTTCTGACCTCTGCAGGCACCAAACACACAGACAGTGTGCGTACATACAGGTATGCAAAATCAACCACACATAAATAAACACATAGACAAAGTTAAATAAAGAAGTTAAATACATTTTTTTTAAAAAAAAGATCAGATTGGCATGCTTTTGATCTAGTTCACAGTGCAGTCAGAGTTGGCCAGTACATCCCCTGAGGGTATTGTTTCTGGACAAGAGTAAGAATGGCAGAATCCTCAAGACCTCAGCCAGAGAGCTCTAATAGCCACTCTGCTGTAGGAGCAAGGGCTCCTGGTTCTTACGAAGACCTTGGGGGACGGTCTCTCAGTTAGATCCTACCTTAGAGGCTAACTGCAGGGACCAGTGCTGCCCAAGAAGGGATTTGATAAAGAGTTCCAGGCCTAACGGTCACAAGAGCCAAGGAAAAGTTTCAAACGACACAATCTTGGGGGTTCTATTTCATCGTATACGCTCGGTATTTTGAAAGATGTTTCTTGAGATGGTGGCATAGCACCTATGATTGATGGACCTGTCAGCCATAATGATTGTTTTTATTTCTGATATTAAAATCTTATCAGGTCATGTAATTATCATGGCATATAAAATTCTACCACATATACTGTCAGGAATGATTCTGACTTGCCCAACCAACAGCAAAAGCTAGAAATCCGAAAGAGCCCGGAATCCCCTCTGTCTCCCTGCTGGCTCCCCTCTGTGGATCTGTTGTCCTTCCATAGCTGTTTCCTGGCCTTATCTCCTCTCCCCCACCCCAGTCAGCCCTTCAGGTCTGACTGTTTCTGCACTGCTCTTACTTGGTGGCTTTTGGTTGTAGAAACATAAAATGGACCAAGACACTGACACGACTCACAACATTCTCTTGATCCTTACTCTGTCACTGGAATTTGTGTGGGTCCCTTTGCCTAATAAGTAAACCACACCTCTTAGTGTAACACATAAGACCTTTGAGATTGGCCCATAATGTCTAATCATCTCTCATGCTTGCCCTTCCATTTCATTCATTCACTCACTCATTTATTCATTGTTAACTTTTTTGAGGTAGTCTCACTATTTATCCTAGGCTGGTCTCAAACATGCAGTGATCCTCCCCCCTCTGCCTCTTGAGTACTAGGATTATAGGCTTGCACCATGGTGTTCAGCTCTTTGTTTTTTATTTAAAAACTTTCTTTTGAGGCAAAAATCTCACAATGAGGGCCTTTGTTGACCTTGTGCTGATCCTCCTGTCTCAACCTTGGATTACAGGTAGCCATCCCTCCTGTTCTTTCCATTTGGAAATGGGGTGCTCAGCCTCTCTGGGTCTTGGCCGCCCATGCTTTCTCAGTCCAGACACTGTCTTGTGTGAGAAATCTGGGCCCCTCATTGGCTCCAGTCTCCTCCTGTGATCCTATCTCTCCAGAGCTGGCTAGTTGATCTCCGACTAGCAATTTGTTCAGCCCTCACCTGCCCTGTATTAAATGCCATTTCCCGTCTCTCCGGGCTCCCTGCTTGACAGGAAACACTGTGGCTGTTTGTTATAGGGAGGTAGATCGACTTAGGAGGCTCTGACCAAAGAACAACAGGAACTTTAGTTCTGTGTGCTTGTCCAGGAGTGAACTTGGCAAGGTTGGTCTGAAGCTGGAGCCAATGCCTTGAAGGAGTCAAGATGGCAGTTTCTGGAGACACGACTCTTCCCTTGCGGGCTGTGAGTATCACTTGTAACACAGCTATGTCTGATGTACCTTGTTTCTTTTCCCTAGCATTATCTCATTTGGCTGTCTGCTGACCTTGGCAACTATCCCCTGCTAATAGCGCATAAGATGCTGAATTTCTTAATAAACATTCTTGTATAAGTCGTCAGTGTGGTGATGTATTGTGTCCCCCAATAAAATGTACCTGAGGATCAGAGGAAAAAGCCAGCCACTATATTAGACATAGCGGCCAGGCAGTGGTAGCACACACCTTTAATCCTATCACTTGGGAGGCAGGGATCTGTCTGGATCTTTGTGAGTTCAAGGCCACACTGGGAACAGAGCCAGGCAGTGGTGGCACACACCTTAAATTCCAACACTAGTTAACCATGGAGATCTGGAGGTCCGTACAGACAGACAGGAAGTGACAGAGCTGGGCAGGAAGAGGCAGTGATGTAGCTGGACAGACAGAGCAAATGGGATAGCAGAACAGAAAGGCATATAGGTGTGAATATACAGGAAGTAGCTCTCTTTGGAAGCTGCAGAGTTGGTGAGGTGAGGTTAGCTGTGGCTTTTCCTGTTCCTCTGATCTTTCAGGTTTCAACCCCGATATCTAGTTCCAGGTTTTTATTTAATAAGACCGTTTAGCAATTCATCTACATATCAGCTCATACAAGACACTCTAGTCCCAGGTATTGCTTTTGTCTTCTTCATTTCTCATCCCTGGGCTTCCTTCTCAACACCTTGTGTTTGGGACTGTTATTCCTGAAGGTTCAGGTCAGTTTGTTGAGTGTAAGTGAACTGTTGACAGTTTCTGTCTAGCTTGTGTGTTTCCATATGTGATGACAACTTCTGGGTCAATTGCCACTTTTTTAGTAAGCTGTCAGCTAGTGTTAACTGACTCTATGCTTACAGGTATTTCTTTTTCAGTGAGTCACAGCTCAAGCAAAGGATTGGACTTTTGCCAGGTTCCTATAATGAAAGCACCAGGGAAAAAGGTACTAAGGAAAATTATATTCACATATAATTGCAGGAAGAAAGGACCGATTATGATTCAATTAGTCACTAAAGAGTCTTTGTACTCTCTCTTCACCCTCATGTTGCCTGCTTCAGTTTCCTGATGCTGTTTGAGATGAATTAAACCCGTGTTAACTAACAGAACCAGCCAAATTTATACTTCTGTCTGTCTTTCCACTCCTCCCTTCTCTTTGCCCTAATCTTTCGTTGTTGCTTTTAGACTGAGTCTTATGTATTCCAGGTGTATCTCATATTCTACTTAGTTGGGGATGACCTTGAACTTCTAATGCTCCTGCCTGCATTTTTCAAATACTCAGATTATTTGCAGCACTGAGGATTGATCCACCAAGAACTGTACCAACTGAGCCACACCCCAGACACCCCACTACCACTTTTTTGTTTTGTTTTGCTTTGTTTTGCTTTAAGGCAGACTTTACTGTGTAGCCTGGGCTGGCCTCAAAGCCTCCTTGCGCCACAGCCTTACCAATGTTAGCGTTCCAGGTGGCACCAGGCCCAACCTCCTCTTTCTCTTGTCCCTTCTAGCTCCTTTCTCCTCCTCCTCCTCCTCACTTCCTGCCAAATCACAGTCTTACCATGTAGCCCACGTTGGGTTCTAAATAAGGATCAGTCTTTCTGGGATTGCAGGTGTAGACAATATGCTTTTCTTTTGCTTCATCTTTTAACAACCTGCCCCCCTCCACAGGGTGTTCTAAGTCTAAGGAGGGACCTTGGTAATGATCCCTTCCTTTCTCATCCCATATGGATTCAGCTGCAAAAAATGAATGTGTCTCTAACACTAGTACCCAGAGGTCAAGGACTGATTGATTTTTATGAGGAAGAAAACAGAGATGAGAGTTATTGAAAGGGATACCACCCCTGCCCCCTGTTGTGGAAGGTCTCTTGACCATTGTCTTACTGTAGCCCCTATGTGCCCCATAATCTCCCTTCCTGCCCTTAAGGCCCTGAAGGTGGAGATCTGAGGCAGGGAAGACTGCTGTTTTCCTCAGGGCCTGTCATTGGCAGCAGGAATGAACCTGATGCAGCTAACTGGGTAGCCTGATGGTCATCCTCAAGGATGCAGGGGTGCTCATCTACTTGAGGGACAGAGGAACTCCTTCAGGACTCAGGGGCCTCTACTCAAGAGACAGAAGAGTGTCCCCCAGACTCATTGGCAGGATGAGTGAGAATGAAGCAGCTAGTGAGTTTATTGATGAAGCAGAAAGACAAGAAGACTTGAATGGAGTCAAGAGCCTCCATCAGGAGAGGGATGTCTGTTTGTACCTCAGCAGTAACTGTGTGTGACCCCGGGGCTGTGAGGCCAATAAACTGTAACCGAGTTTAGATGTCAGGGACAGTGTGTGTCGCTGTAATTCTTGTTTTGTCTACAGCATTCTGCCCTTGAAGAAGAGACTGTTTTGAAGGTGCTCTGTGCATGATGGAAGCTTGAGAAGGGTGTGCTAGTAAAGAGAAAATGTTGATCTGTGGGGTCCTTACTAACACCTAGATCACAAGGAGGGTGGACTAAGGCTTAGGTCATCAGCCTTGTTAAACAGT